TAAGTATTGTGGAGCGAAAATTTCAATCCAACCGGAAAATCCGGGAAAAAACCGGGAATTCGGATTTACCGGGAAAAAATTGGGAAAACCCAAATTGCACCGGGAAAGATCATATATATCATCATCCCAAGTAACAATTTTGATTTTATATTAGTCTTGTAGACCATAATTTGGTCTTGAATAATACTTTAAACCTTTAAACTTGTAATGTTACTTGGAATCAACTTTCATATATTTTTTTCTCTCACTCGCAATCTGTTCGCGCCCGGATCAAGCGGTGATTTTGTCGTTTTCGATACCAAAATTGATATAATTTCATATGGTGTAATTGGAATGCATATGGTGTCATTGCTTGAATTCTTTTGCTACAGTTTTCTGAGTGATAGAGAAGCAGATTCATGCCGTCTCAAACTCCTTGCAAACTCCGATCATACTTGGCATGCAAATGTTCAACACGGACATAGAGATAAATTAAACATTAATTTCTGCACTTTTTGTTAACCAGATTCCAAGATTAGGACATTTTTGAATACCGAGGTTAGTCTGTAAAACATAAAGATCTGAATCCATACCTCTCACTCCAAAATCATGAAATCAAATCTCACCCGGATAAAGCACGAATGATCCGAGAGTGTGAAAATATCTATAAATAAAAAAATACTCTTGGAATCCTGTAAAGATTCTTTTAAGATTATTTCACAAATCATGATTGGAATTTCCTTGCATTTCGCTTCTCAATTCCAATCCCCAATTGAGAATAACATATTTTGACCTTACTACATATTACATACTGTATTCTTTATGGTCAACAGTTAAGCAAAATAATAATCTATGCTTCAAGTAAGGATTTGGGTTTTATCATGCGATAAAACTTGTGATGGTACTTGGGATATTTTACCATATTTAACTGTTTAAATTAAACTGGGAAAACTAGGTTAGACAACTGGAAAAAAAAACAGACTTTTCAATTCTTAAATAGAATGGCCAGACTCCATTTGTTTCAAGTCCGTAATCTTCAAGAAAAATTAGGACATACAATTCCATTGTCTATGATCTCGAGATGTCACCAATTTTCTGAGATTTCGAAAAAAATAAACTCTGGTATCTTCGTCATCTTGAAAGTTGTCCAAGCCTAATATGTTGAAAAGTGGTCTAGGAAACTTTCCAAGCGCTAGAGATTTTTTCAAAGACATGAATTTCGATAAATCTTTGAAGGTCGGAAGCATTAGTATCGGCAAACATCGAAAAATCATGTAGTAGAATCTTCTTTTTTTCAGACGTTCTTTCCCAAGCCTATCAAATTGTATTTTCTACAAGTCCGGAATCAGCAAATTTCCAATCCGGGATTTTAGATAAATTCTTTGTTTAAAATTATGAAATATTTTCTATATTTTAGAAACATTAAATTTTTCTCGGACTGTGAAAATACATTCTAACGTATCGTAAGTTATTCTACGCTTTCTTAATTTGTTTGAATTGAAGATCGCTAATTACTAAGTATCAGCATAAAAAAATCCAATATCTTTACAATGTATACCAGAATCTTACAACTTTTTTGAAGATCGAGATTTTTCCGGAAAATTTTCCTCGTTCCAGAATAATGATAATTATTGATACGATCCAAAACACTTGCCTAGGTTCCAGCGATATGAAAATGTGTCTATGTTTGAAGTTTTACAGAAGTCTCTATATTCGAGATCTTTAAAATTGCTTGTATTAAAATTGATGGATTTGTTCAAAACGTTGAATTTTCTCCAATTTCAACATTTCCTAATAAATTTCTATGTTCAATCTTTCACATCCCGAAGCTCAACCAATTTGCGATCTGAGTCTAAATTCAACTTATTCAACGGTTGATTTCCAAAAAATCGTGGCAGAAATTTGAGGAAATGGAGGATACAAACTAACCTATTGATTATCCAATTAATACTGATGTTTTATTTAAATAAAAAATCTTGTAAAATGCTCATGGTGGTTTGGAAATTTATAATATTTGTCAAAGCGGATTGCATTCTGTGATAGATTTTCAAAAGTTTTTCAAGGATGATTTAGAACTTTAAAAAATCCAAGGAAGAATTTTATAGGATTCTAGGGATGACACCAAGATATATCAGAGAACAATACCAAAGTACAGACTACGAAAGTCTCATGTAAAATTAAGTGCTCTGAGGACCGATTTCTTCTTCTGCGCTTAAATCTTAAACTTGGCTTAACACATACATACGAGCGTCGCTTTTCATTATTGTTTAAATTATTAGAAACACAAAATTCAGTTCCGAAACAATTTTGGGAATAGTTCTAATATAATTGAGAGTGCATTTTAACGAGAGTTCTGAGAAGAATTCTATGATGATTGGATGAGGATTCTAGGTTCAATTCTAATAAGAATCCAAAATTAGTTCTGGAAATTTGCTTAAGGGGGCTCTGATGAAAATTCCATGGAAATCCCATGAACTCCAAAAGTGGTCTCTCCGGATAGTTCTAAAAGAATTCTGGGGTGATTTGTGATGATTCTTCCAAGAGAATTCTAAAGAGTGCGAAATAAATTCCAAGAAGAATTCCAATGGAATCGAATTTTGAGGGTTCAATCTCAAAGGAATTCTGAGAAGAGTTTCAAAGTTTGTGATGGATTTTTGTTTTGAGAATTCTGAGGAAATACTATGGGGATTCTAAGTACAATACGAATTGAATTTCCAATTGAATGCAAGAGAGAAGTCCAAGATTCTAAGCAGAAATTTATGAAATTTCTGAGGTTAATTGCATGGAAATTCTAAGGTTGGATTTATGGAAGAAGCCTTCAGGGAGTAGAGTTGATAGTTCCGTATAGTACGGCAGTGTGAAAATTGTATACACAAAGTAGAAAGCGAGAAAAGGACAATTTTGAGGAAGGTACGAATCGGGTAGTTGTCTACGTCAGATGGCGACTTGAGTGTGAAACAATCGATAGAACTGTTTCCGCACATCAGAGGTACATGAGCAAATAGGCGATCATCCCTGTTTACAGTGGTGGCAGAGGGAAACACCCCTCACCATCCCTCATTAACGTATAAGCTTGGTAAAAGAGATGCTCTACCCTATCCGTCCCTTCCTCAAAATTGTCCTTTGTTCACTTTCTACTTTCTATGTACAAATTTCACACTGCCATACTATAACGGAACTATAAACTCTTTACTTTCATCTTCTCATCTATCGTATAAAATGTCCAATTTAATTCTGATATTTGATGTTAAGCATTCCGAACTAGGAAAATAATCTATTTCCAAGAATTTGGTTGATTGTTCTGCAAAGAATTTCTAAAATGCAATATTATGTTTTGTAATAGCTGATTTGCCTCTAAGTTTAAGAGAAGGGGAATTATTCCAAAAAAGTTCTTGAGATCATTCTGAAGAAATTCTGTCAAAAGTTCATAGCAAATTATCAATGTTATCTAACTAGATATATCAAATATTTACAGATTTCGAACGCAGAATCAAATTCAAGATCATAAAAAATGGGAATTACTATTTGCTAGTGATCATGAACAACGTAAGCAAAAGTAGATTATTCAAATGCTTCACAGGAGATTCGAGTAATTCGATTAAATTAGAGGAATTTATGACATTTGATTTTAAGTTCCATGACATAAAAAGTTTATTTCAATATCAAACCGTATTTGAATTTCTAAGGTACCATATAAATGGTAACTTATTTAGTATTTACAAGTCACTATTTGGTCACTATTTCCGTAATTTTAGTCACTAAAGTCACTACTATTACATCGCATCAGCACTACCAGCCGTGAACTAAGATCCTTTTGAATATAATTGTTGTTGGCTAAATCGGATGCAATTTTAAATTATTAAAAAATTTGCGGAAAATTTCTAATCAAAATTTATAAAAAACAAATATGATTTGAGATTTTGATGTCTCTGTTAGGGAAAACTTTTTTTTTACAAATAAAAAATTGCTGCTTGACACTGAGTCCGAACACATTGCTCTTGATAAATTTAAAAAAAAAACATCTGCTTTCCATTGTTCATTCGAAGAACCTAGGATGATTGTTCATCATCAACAGTATTCCCTTTTTCATTATGTCCGTCTTATTAATTTACTTTTGCAGTGGGGGTACCTCAAGATTCTCTAATTCAATTGCAGAATTGAAAATCCGTTTATGTCGCTCTTTTTGTTTGGTCTGTTCTTGATTTTTGTTTTCCCAGCTTTCATTGCTAGCAACAGCAGTGGCTGCTGAGCGAATGTCGATCGATTTTCTGTAGGTTGCAAAAATTTCGTCGATTTCTGCACTCCTTTGTGTGCTCTGGTCCCGGTTCAGTTCCTGAGTCTCTCTTTCTTCTCTTGACTAGACATTCATTCCATTCTTGTTGCGTTGTTCCCTCCTTAGTGATATAATAGGTTGGCGATTGGTTCGATTTGAGAACACCACCAACAATCTCAAGGTGGACTGAGCCTTGGACCGGAATGTGAAAGATTGGAACGATTTTGCTCCAAACCACACGGACCGGATAATAAATGTAGAAGCTGCTGAAGGGATGCTTTTTTTTTTTGGTTAAGATAGTGGAAAAGTGGTAGAAAATTTAAGCAATGACAGGACGGAATGGATAGGTGACAGTGTTGCCAGCACATGTCATACGTATTCAGCATGATATGTTTTCCAACTTTGTGCAATCAGACTGGTTTCGTTGTGCCCGTTGCCGTATTGTACGTACGTGAAAAAGTGAACATTCCATCTGTCTATCCTCTACCACACCACTCCACTCACTGGTGGAGGAGCTCTGCGCCAGTGTGTTGGTATTGGTAAGCTGTCATCCCGGTTCAACCAATACCACCGCGGCGAGGTCTTCTGTCTATCGGACCAAAAAACAGCAACTCGGTATTATTAATCGAATGACGAGTGAAAGAAGGCCGACCGAACGGAGCAGCAGCAGCAGCAGCAGCAGCAGTAGTGGAAATTTTCCCCATTCCTTGATTTTGTTCGCTGGTTCACTGCTGATTTCTTTCTCTTCTTCTTTGGCTTTTTTTTGTCATGTTTTACATTGATGCCAGATGATATTTTCTTTTGGTGTTGGTGTCTAATGTGGCAGATAATGTTGTTTTATTCTGGTGGGACAAGATGGGCTTCCGTCTAGAGCTTTCCGTTTGATCTTTGTAATGCTCAATAGAAACGACCTTCATCAGTGTTGCCAACTGAGAGGCTATACGTAGAAATCGGTATTTTTTATGAGTGTGCCTGTTCTGCTCCTGTCCCTTTGCACCTTTGGTGGTAGTGGTAGTAGTATTTTGGAGACCACACACCGCCCTCTGTCACGTCCATCGTTCCGCTCTCGACCGTCAGTCGGTGCAGTGAAAGAAAAGTCATGGCACAAAAATACGTCTTGTTTCCCGTGTGTTGTTCGAGTGTATTGGTGGGTACACTACGTTTCGCCCTAGAATGTGTATTATTTGAGACTGCTGCGATGGTATTGGTGAATTCGTTCAGATGCGGCACAATCGCTACGCTCTCACCGCACACTCAATGTTTACACTATCCGTACAATGTTGGACCTGAAGCAGTCGTGTTGGTGTGGGATCTGTTTGTGAGTTGACGGACAGAATTCACAACGCACACTGACGACCGATCAGAGTGGCGACGAGAGTGCGAAGATTTTGACGTTGCCGTGTCTTTTTTTTTTTTCGTTCGACAAGTCCGAAGACGACTGATCGATTCTTCCGAGCGATCCTGGGATCGCATAGTAGTAACGAGGTTGCTTGCTGGAAGGAACCTGGGTGCTAAGATTTAAAATTGATTAAAACTTCGAACAATTGCCTTTCCACCCGTAACATGCAACATACACTCGTGCACACGAGGAGGGCGTATGAGTCATATATTTCCCATCATCAGCAGAATTAGCAGTCGACCGAAGTCGTCGTCTACGGGCAGACTGTGGTGTGTATGAGGGGTTGCTCGAGCACAGGAAAGTTGCAGAAGAAAAAGAAAAAACTACGGTGTAGTGCAGTGATTTCGGGGTGCCACCACCTGATTACGACGGCGACGACGACGACGACGACGTTGAGTTTGTGAAATTGCAGTTCCATCGATTTAGAGGTAGTGCATGCAGCCAGATACCGAGTAGAGGAAAACCTTCGACAGTGTGGATGTCTACTACCATCCATCCAAACAGGACGAATAGAGAAAAAGAAACGAAAAAACTGGTGTGAATTTGGAACGAAGTGGAACTCGCTAGAAAATGGCTTCCACTTATTAGTGTACCGTGCCGTGTGTGTTTTTTATTTCGTATTCGCAGCGAAGAAAAACCGATGAAGAACAGTGCAAAAAATAATATGTGAGGGTTTTCCTCCGAAGATCGATTGATGAAACTGTGTGAAGCTAGAGAGAAAAAAAAAATATGGACTTTGGGTAAAAGCAATCAACTGTGTTGTGTTACGTGCTCGAAATAAAAGAAGAAATAGTTATAAAATCCAAGGACTGTGACAAACGAGAAAAATTTAGTGCAGTGCAGTCGGTTCGAACAAAAAGAGTGTGGAACTGACAGGACGACGAGTGTGGAAGAGTGTGAAAATTTTAAATCGATCGAGACGACCGAAAAGGAACAAGAAGTCCACGTTAGATATAACCAATAAGTAGAAGAAGCCAAAAGTACTGCTGGCTGGCTGGTGTGTGGAAGAAGCTAACAGGCAAACAGATCTCTCGGTGCTCTCTGAGGCTGCCGCCGATGAGATGGTGAATCGCTGTGAAAAAGTGGAGCTGCTGTTAGACAAGGTGAAGAAAGAAACGAACGGACGGGATACAACAGTTATGGATTATGGCTTACGAAGAAAGGATTACTACAGCCTGGCTGGGCAGGGAAAAGTGGTAAACAAGCATGTGCGAATTAATTGGGTAAAATTAATTATCTCAATGCGAACATTTCGTCCAGTGTGTGGTAGAATCGGGGAATTTTATCATCCAGGCGAATATGGATGGGTTGATTGATAAAGTTTGAACGCAAATACCTAAATCCTTTGAATCAGGTGAAATGTGCTTTTTGGATTAAATCCATTTGTTGATTCCGCTAATCTGAACTTTGAGTCTACTACTTTTAAATAGATAACCGTGTATGTGCAAAGAGCGAGTCCTACAGTCAACAGTACAACAAAAAATCAAAACATACTGGCCGCTTCAAATTTAAATTGAATGGCAAAGTTTGGTTTGATATCATACAGGTCGAAATAGATTCTGAACTCGTAGATGTTGCGGTCCGCATCGAGATCCAATTTCCATCGTAAGCATTTACCTTCCAGTCACCGATAATGACAACCTGAAACAGCGTGTCTCCGATCGTCTTCAACAAATCGCCGAACCTAGACTGATCCTGGGTGACTGCAACGCTCACCACCGTGCCTGGGCCTCTATTAAGTACAATACTAGAGGAACCATCATTGCAGAAGTAGCAGACAACTTCAACCTCACGGTCCTTAACGATGGCTGCTCAACTTTCTCTCGGGGCAGATTGATACTGCCATAGATGTCTCTTTCGCCAATAACAATAAAGTGAACCGAATGTAGTAGTCCGTGTCGGAAGACCCTCTGGGAAGTGATCACCGACCAATCACTATATACAGCAATGACATTCCTCCAAAAACCTCACGACGTCCTCGTTGGCAGTATGATCTCGCTGACTGGGCATTTTATAAAAAAATCTATCGAAGACCAAACTATGGGCACAGAAATCGATCGACATCGATACTTTTCTTTTCCTTTATTTAACGTCGGTCTCTGTTCCACAATCTAGTGCCAATCACCGACGGACATCGATTACCATCCATTGACGGCAACCGAATGTGCAGGAAAGCAGCTTCCACACCTGCGTAGGATATCGCACCCATTCAATTCAACACACATGGGCCGGGACCAACGGCTTTACTTCCCTTCCGAAGGAAGACGTGACCAGAGATTTTTATGCCTCAGAAAAATCCCACCGGGATTGAACCCAGATCCATTGGGGTGTTAGAAAGCAGTCACGCTTACCACTACACCACCGGCGCCGGCTTACATCGATACTTTGATCGACATAACAATCCCAGAACAAGTGCATACCCGGACGCAGAGCCTTGCATTGGTGGTCGCCTGAGAATCGCGCCATGGTAAAAGCCAGGAGAAACGTACTCAGGAGATTAAAAAGATTACTCATAGACCATCCGCACGCCGAGAAGCCGCCCGTGATTATCGTACTAAGCGGAACCAGTGGCGCTCCACGATCAGAGAAGCCAAGTCAAATCCTAGGAGGAGTTCCTTAACGTAATAGATGGTAACAAGTCAACAACCGAGCTATGGAACAGAGTGAATGCACTCAGGGGAAAACGTAGGAACACGGAACTAGCAATACGCAACTCTTGTGGGATCACTATAGCAAAGTCGGTTAACAAAATGAAAGCAAATCGATATTAAAGTTTGCAGTTTCTATCATAATAAAAACTAATTTTGATTTCAATTGTCGCGACATAAGTCTGATATCATATTGTGATTTCATTATGTAGTCAAAACTTTTTAAATGAAAGCAGCTTAACTTTAAGTTCTGCTGTTAACGTCTTGTTTAAAATTTAATTTCAGTTCATCTGTTGTTGAACTAATGATTATTGTTTATTTGTTTTGTTTAACACATTTTAGGTCATTCCTGACTTGCCCGGGGTGAGATTTGATTTATTCAACTTTTCAGTCTTTTAGCGTGAGAAGCATGGATGCCAACCATTTACACCAGGCTCGTATTCAGTTAAACATTATGAATGCAAAATGAGTAATCAAATTGATTCCATTAAAAGCAGGATTAGTTTTCCGTTTGCTTCAACAGTGTAAAATTTTGCTCTCATTTTTGCTGTGTTAATCGTTAAGTCAACCAAAATGAGATCAACTAGAGTATTCAAAATAAGTTACATCATAACAGCAAATTTTGATTTCAATTTGATCTTCAGCTTTGCTCGGGTAGGGACTCCATCGAGGTTGCCAATGTGCTGGGCTCATACTCTGCTAAGCTTAGCTCGCAGTATAATTCTTCCTGATCTAAATCCTGGATCGAACAATCAACAAACCATTCTCCGTGGTAGAAATGGCCTTCGCGTTAGCAAACGGTAAAGGCAAATCGGCCGGCCCCGATGACGTTTGTTATCCTTTATTAAGACACCTTCCCCCGAGCGGAAAGCAAGTGCTACTTGAGTTCTAACGAGATTTGAAGATAGAAAACTTCCTTAACAGTGGAGGCACAGCTTGGTGGTGGCCATTCCAGAAAAGAACACTGCCCGCACCGATCCAAAGGGATACCGACTTACAAACTGTGCATGTAAGGTGATGGAGAGAATGATAAATCGCCGGTTAACCGATTACCTTCGCGAAAACAACCTGCTGGACAACCGTCAACGCGCCTCTCGTGAAGGCTTTGGCACAAGAACTTATTTTGCCATCATGGCATGGGTCAGGTAATTGACGACGCTTTGAGCGAGAATCTACATGTGAATTTGGCTACGTTGGACCTCTCCAAGGTGTTTACAACAGGATCTGGATTCCAAAAATCCTCGAGCAATTAATCAAGTGAAAAGTGACCGGCAACATCCTTCGTTTCAACCAAAATTTCCTGCAAAGCAGTACTTTTCAGGTCTGTGTAGGAAATGTAAAATCGGACACATTCGCTTAAGAAACCGGAGTTATGCAGGGTTCCGTCCTGCCTGTGACACTCTTTCTAATAGCCATGAACGGAGTTTTCGGGCACATTACGCTGCTCGTGACAAGGTAAATCACCGGTTAGGGTCCGACGGAGGTTGCAAAGAGCAATAAATGAAGTAGAGATCCATTTCACACCGTCATCTTAGTTTCAAGAAACACAGTGACATCATCAAGAAGGAATGTGAGACGAGATTGGCGCTGCTGCAGTCCATTTTCGAAAAACACGAAAAGAACAACCGCCAGCTCGGTCTCCGTGTGGCCAAAGCTAGCAAGCTTCTATATGGACCGAAACTTACTTGCCATGCAGCTGATAGAGTAATAGAATGTTTTAGCCCAACATACAACAGCAGCATCCGTACCATCTCTGGTCTGCTTCCATGTACACCAGTGGCTTAAACCTCTGTCGAGGCAGGAGTGCTACATTTTAAATATATTTTCGTATTAACCGTTTGAACCAAGACCCTAAATTTCCTGGACAAAACAGACGGAGATGATGAGGGCGTGTTCCTCCTCAAGGTGGCCAACAAACTCCTCAGTGATCTGGCCCACCAGGAACTCCCTCCGTATTGGAGCCGAAGCGAGGGATTGCTCACCACCACATACTGACTGGTCACTGGAACATATAAGGAGAAGTGACCCCGGTACATTAACAGTCGTTCATATCTTCAACGAGTTAGTGGCACCAAATGTATCGATCACCAACTCATTTTTACGGACGGATCCAAAGCTGGAGGTAAAATGGAATTCTGAGTTTCCGGACCTCAGTTGAGCATCCATTGAAGATTATCGAACATTGCGTCTATCTGTTCGGTCGAAGAAGTGGCAATTACGAAATCCGGCCCTACTCAGAGAGCATTGGAAGCATCCAAAGTCCGTCACCGGTACAAGCAATTAGAACAGTGGTCGACCGAAACACAAACCTTCTTGTGGGTTCCTAGTCACTGTTGAATCAGAGGACACGAGCATGCGGACAGACTGGCAGCTTAAGGCAGAGAATCTGCCCTCACAGCAAGAAAAATCCCTGCAGTTGATATCAAGACATGGGTCAGAGGAGTAGTTAGAGCACTTATTATCAACCTGCTCGAATTATCAGCAATATAGACAACTTCATGGCTTAGATTGCAGTCTACGAGACGCTTTTTGTAACGAGCCAAGTAAAGAGGAGGCTCAAATTGGATGGACATCATGCTACAATGACAAGTGTTAACCAAGACACATGATAGCAGACCCACGCAATGAACCTGAACAATAAACAAAACATAAATTAAGCATCTTGAACCACGCTACAATACCGGACGACGACTAAGGAACTATCAAAACTTCAGATTTTGTTACAATGTTATTATGTTAATGTGTTACAATGTTATAGCTAACAGTGGGGGGCACTCATTTGAAGCCCTCTCTCCTTTTAAAGGGGTAAACCATTGAAAAGGATCTTCACGCTAGACATAAGGATTGGTTCGGATCATCTACACTCAATATGATCACCAATGATCTTAATTTCGCATTCTTATGTAATTTAAGATGTCGCATGATGGGTTTTAGTTCAAGTCAGATTGCGCTGCCCATAATCGCTAGTCAGTTCCATCTTTAAAGACCGGGAAATGAGAAAACAGCGTTCAAAGATTTTACAAGTTTTTTTTTTATTTGACACTTATTTTAGAGGGATAAATTTAAAAATAATTATTGGATAAAATGTGAAATTTTTATTTTATGGCCAAAATCTGAGTGACTTGCGATTACATTTAACGTCAATGAGAAAAATAACCGCAAGTCAGTCACAATTCCATGACGATGCTGCACTACTTTAGCACAGTATTGAACAGCAGAAATATACCATGGTCCCTTAGAACGTTATTGTATGTTTCTGGATTTGTTCCGCTGGTTCCAGAACAATGGCCGGAAAATATTCCGGTGAGTATGGGTCTTCATCAGATCAGAGCCAAACGTGCCAAACCCACCATGCGATAAATCAATTCACATGAGAATTCAAAAATAAGTCATGATGAGTGACCAGCACCATGTTGGCCACACCCGGACATGTTCCGGGTATTCCCGGGAAGTGG